GCTACATATGACATGTCATAAATATGACACGTCATATCAGAAATATGATCTAATTTGCATAAGCCCCTGGGGATTATTGCTTCAACCTATCTCTGACAGGGGGAATTATTCGGGGAGGGGAATTAATCAAGAAAATATGTAAATCTGGTTTCTATGAGATCTCCTATTTTTAATTTTTATAAATTATATTTTAAAAATAGAACCCAAAAGAGGCGTCGAGGAGGTCAGATTTATTTGTTAAATTTGTGTTGCTAAAGGACAATTCTTCGGCATTTCGTTGTAAATACACAGAAGGATTTTCCAAGTATTTTGGCCTTAATTTAAGCAAAATTTTATGTAAATTTCTATTTTTGCTTATTAAATTTTAAATAAAATTAATTTCTTAAATTTAAAGGCGCTAACTCATTTAAATTTTCAAAAAAATTTTTTCAAAAAAATATTTTAATAAAATCCCCCTCTAAATAAAATTAATTCTTTGAAATTAGTTTAATAATACACCCGAATTTTAAATTTTTAAAAAAATTAAAGCTCAATAAATTATTCAGTCAGCTACTATTTTTATTAACCTTCTTGACCGCTCTATCTAAATATCTCAAATCTAATTTTCTAGCGAATCATATTTAATAAATATACGTCTGATTAGGCAATGAATTTTGTAGCAATTTTGATGGTGAAGATTCATTCAACTTTTGTGTTGATTTAAAAGCAAAAGATTTCCAATTTTTGGAAGTTCAATTTTTCCAATTTTCAATTTTTAGAAGAATAAGAGAAGCCAAGTTTAACTGAAAAATAATTTAAACTCAGTCGCTTTAGTAAAATTTAAAAAAGAAACCTTAAGAATGAATTGGATTTTCTCTTGTGCCAGAAACAAGTTTTAATCACTAATTAAAGCAAGTTTTAACGCAAAAATTCCAGGATATGCAAGGCAAATCCATTAATAAATTTTGTACATTTATTCCATTAAGCCTTTAAAAACTATAAAATTCTCCTAAATAATGAACTACTGACCATTTTATATTGACCCTCACTTAAACCATCAACTCAAGATTAAAACAGGTATATTTTTGAATCAGCCAGATTCTGTCGCCTCTCTTCGAGGCCCCTAAACAAAAAAATTTTAAATAAAAAATAATTTTAAATTGAACCTGGAGAAATTAATCTCCAATAAAAACTAAAAAATTGAGTGGATTTTCAGCCATATTATAAGGTTGTTTAGCTTTTCTTACTGTAGTTTTTATCATTTTTATCCACATCATTTTTTAAAGTTTTAATGACAATTCCAATTTATGTTGGCTGTAGTCTGTTGCTAATTTGCTGAAATCTTGAAGGTGTTCATGAGACCCAAAAAATTTTGGCAGCCATATATGCGCAAATCTAAAATATGAAATAGGTCTTCCATGCATCGACTAATTGAAATTACCCCTACAACAGAAGGAACGAACCGGCTCCGGAGCCGGTGGTTTTCGGAGCCATTCTTTGTTGCTCCAGAGCCATTCTATGTTGACTTCCATTGTAGCATAATATGTAGTAACCTTTTCGAACTTGGAGCTATTTCTATATATCAAATGGTGTAGTGGGTGGACATCAATATTTGTATCATTAGACTCCGATTGAACTAAAAAATTTAGAAAAATTTTTTATTAATTGTAATATCGTGAGGGTTTAAGAAAAAAATTTTTATCCTTATTGGAAGGAAAGATAATATTAATCTTAATCTGTAAGCAGAAAGATTGGGAATTTATTCCCAACAAAAGTTGGCGACTCACAATAATAATGTCTATCAGACTTGCACACGGATACTGATCTTGGTATCCGTATCCGGATATTTACTGCGGATACAGACGGATATCCGCAGGCATTTTGATATTATTTGTATCCATATCCGTGTGCAAGTCTGGTGTCTATAACAAAATTGAGTGGATATTTTTAATATACCTAATAGAATCACGAATCTTTTCTTCTTGTTTTATCATTTCAGTTTTAATTTGACCCATTTCTCCTTATACTTACATCAATTTCGGTTCAATCAAGGAGTGAGTCAAACTTCCATTCACGTCCATTTTTTCATGCGCCCTGTAATGCTTTTCAGAAGCAATACGTTGCAAAGCTTTTAAGCCCCCAATCAAGGCTGAATTGGCGAGGAGGCTCGGGTAAAAGAAGATATATTTTTAGAGAATAATAAAAATATTTTTTGAGTATTAATATTTTGATAAAATTAAATTTTAAATAAATGAGGTAAATTTTTAATTTAATTAACAGACAAAATTTATTTCTTTATATACCCCTTTTTAGTCTAACTTTATTTTGATGATTCTTCATGGGAAATGGCTCCAAAATTAATTTTTTATATTAAAATCGTACAATTTTCAAAATTAGATATTTTGGTTAATTAACTAAAAAATTTTTCTCACGACTAAATATTAATTAAAACACCAAAAATGGTCCTATGATTGTTCTAAAAATAATTTTTTATTACCCAAAATTAACCAAAATTATACAGGGTGCGGCAAATTGGCGGCCGCTTTTCTTTTTGCTATAACTTTTTTAATTTTTAATGAAAATACTTAATTCTTTTTTTACTGGATTCTCAGCACTCTGAGAATTTTTTTGGTACCAAAAAATAGAAATTTGGTTCACAGATGGTAAAAATAAGCCGGTCCAAACATTCAAAAGCATCAAAAAACATTTTTTCATGTCAAATTTTAATTGATCATAACTTCGTCAAAAATCATCCAATCTCGATGATTTTAGTACCAATCGACTCGTCTTGTTCAGGCGCATCGAAAAAACTTATAATTTGATTTTTGAAAATTTCACTAAAAAATTTTATTTTTACCATTATTATTTTATTTTATCATTCAAAGGACCATAGCTCATTCGATTTTTATCGTAGCCAAAAAATTTTGATGTCATTCGAATCAGATTGAAAATCTGATTCGAACGATATAAACATTTCCGATATTAAAATCATAGCCTTGAATCCAGACCGACTTTTATCCGAAAATTTTTGCTTGAACTTTGAGAAAAGATTAAACTGACTAAACTATGAAATTTAAAAACAATTTTCATATCAAAAAAATTCTCAGAGTGCTTGGAATCCAGGAAAAAAAGAATTAAGTATTTTCATTAAAAATTAAAAAAGTTATAGCAAAAAGAAAAGCGGCCGCCAATTTGCCGCACCCTGTACAATTTTAACCAAATTTGTAGAGGAATTGTACGATTTTAATATAAAAAATTAATTTTGGAGCCATTTCCGACGAATAATCATCAAAATTAAATTAAGCTAAAAAGGGATATATAAATAGGTAGATAAATTTTGGCTAATAATTAATTTAAAAGAAAATTATTGTTCTAATTTTATTAAATTATTTTTTGTTAAATTTATTTCATTGAAATATTAAATACTCAAAAAAATATGCTTTTATTCTCTAAAAATATCGCCAATACAATCTAGATTGCGGATACATAGATCTCCACGTAGTGATAAAATTATTATTATTCTGTTAAACTCTTATAAGTAGGGATCGGATTTTTATGATATAACTGGTGAAAGCTGATTTTAGCACCTGGCTTTGCCGAGGTTCAAGTTCAATAGCAACATCAGGATAAATATTAGTGAAATATATTTGGGGGAGGGCGGGCTTAAGGGAATAACCGGGGGAATATAAACAAATATTAGTATTAAATAATAATTTCAGGCCCACTTTTTTGATGATAAATCCCCTACAGAAATTGATAAAAGTGATAAAGGAAAATTTAAATAATTAAATATTAATAAAAAATTCTAAATAATTAATTTAAAAGTGATGTTGCTACTGATTTATGGGTACGCAACCTGTAATTAAGGTGGATTCCGATTTGTGGAAATCCTTTTTTTGATACGATTAAAAGATTAGTATGGTTCGTAAATTTTTTAAATATTATTACGATCTTTTCTCAAACACATACCCTCACTCGAATTATTTCCCATAGATGGATTGAAACTATGATAGCACCCTAATTTCTGAAACCCCAACGTGTTTCTGGCAAAAACTCCTTCGAATCGTAGTAAAACATACACTTCTGAGCAAGGTTGTCAATTAGGCTATTCGATTCAATTCCTGATATCCGAATATCTTCCCAAAAATCGAAAACTCCCCTTACAACGAGAAATTAAAATTCGGGCATATAAAGTTGTTTTAATTTTAGGCGCAGTATTTCGATGATAAACATCCGGACACCATAGCAAAAGATGATAAGGGAAAATGTAAATATTTAAATATAAGTAAAAAAATCTTAAATAATTAATTTAAAAGTGATTTTGTTTTGTTGGATGGGTGCGCAACCTGTAATAAAGGTGAAAAAATTACAGGATTGCGCGTGACACATAAAGAGGAGGAGGGCGGATTTTTTTCTAAATGGCTTTCCGTGTTTCCGAACTTGACATCAAAGTGGAGGCTAAAAACAATGTGGATATGGCCAATATAGGCTTTTCTGTGCCTGTACACTTAAGGCACAGAATTTGAAGCACCATGTTTTCTGTGCCTCTATCAAATAATAAATATGTGGACTTCACATTGAACACACGTAATATTTTTTGTTAGTTTTATAAAATTTTTAGGCATATTTTTGGAGCGGATTTTTGGAGCGGATAGCTTCTTTAAATCGAAAGGAAAAACTAAAAAATTTCAATCCAAAATATTAGCAAAAATACTAAACTAACCAAAGTCTCGAATGGATTAAAAAATAAATTATGAGAAAAGAATCTAGGATAATTCACTCATATCAATGAATAAGGTCATTTGATATTTGAAAATTTTTAAAATCAATCAGAAATTATGAAATATTTTTTTATTTAAAATTTTTCAATTTTATAAATTTCCAAAAAATTTTTAAAAAATTTCTCTTTTTTTCATTGCCTTTATCCCGCCTGTTCACAAAAATCTAAATTTTAGATGATAAATTAAAAAATAAATTAAGTTTGGTGATGAAATGAAAAAGCGAATTGAGTTGGAAAAGAAGCTTGCCGCCCTCATGGAACGTGTCGATCGTAAAGAAAAAAAAAGATGATGAAGAAGATGAAAAAACTAGGAAGGAAATTGAAAATATCAAAAATGACATGGAGGTAATAAAGTTTGATGTTCAAACGTTGAAGAACTGGAGAGCAACAGTCGAAAAGCAGAAGTATAAGGCGCGGGATCGAGCGCAAGAAGATAAGGGTTGTGGTGGAGAAAAGCATGAAGAATTGGGCTGGATGCCCAAATGCTCAAGAACTGGAATGACTTTTGATGAACAGAAAGAAGCCAGGGGAAGGAGATTATACTGGCCTTAAAATCACAAAACTTGTACATCAAAATGAACATCAACTACAAACTTCATACCAACGTTGTGTGCCGAAACTAATTTTAAAATGCAAATGACGAAAGGCCAAGTCAATACACGAAAGCTACTTTTGATTGGGAAAGAATTAAACTTTAAAACTTCAAGATTTTTTCTTAAATTTACTCAATGTTATTTTTTTATTTTTTAAATCATACATGCTTCAAATTTTGTGTTTAGAATATACTCATTAATTTTGTTTTGTTATTGAATTTACTGTAAATATTAAAAATATTCAATGATAATATAATTTTTTAAATTCTAGAACAAAAGAGATGTAGTGCCGAAAAATTATATTTTTTTGAGTAAGTCGAATTATGTACATAAGTTCTAAGTACATGTGAACTAGAAGATCAGCTCGAATTTAATATTTTTGCCAGTTTTTAATAATTTTTTTATTTGGGAGAAATATTTTTAGGATTTCTCGAAATTAAAAATCTTTATAGAATTTTATAAATTTAAAAATAAATTATAAATCCCAGAAGTCAGCATACATGATCTCTCTCATTATCTTTGTAAATAGTGGAGAATGAGCCTTTGATTTTTTATTTTGAATGAGCCTTTGCCTTTTTATTTTGAAGAACTAATATAAGTTCTTCAAAATAAAAAATAAAAAGAAATATAAAAAAATATTAGAATTTAAATTAATAACTCAATAACCAGCGGGTATACTTTAGAGAAAATATGGTATCTAATTTTTATTTTAACCTAATTTAAAATTTAAAAATTTTACTAATCTTTAAAAGTAATATCTTTTTATTTTGGAGAACTATTTTGTTGGACTTAAATTAAATTTAAAAATTAAATCCTTTTTTACATATCGTTTATATTTTAATAAAATGCCTCTTATTGCATTCAACTCGAATTTAATAATTTTTGTTTATCTTTAAATTTTATTTGTTTTGGAGAATTATTTTTTGGATTTTTCAAGATTAAAAATTTTTTATTGAATTTTATACATTTAAAAATAAATTAGATTTATTATGAATCCCAGAATTTCTCTCATTATTATTAAAAAAAAGGTAAATGGAAAATGAGCCTATTTAAGAATATTTTAAAATTAAATATTTACCGAAATAAAAAAATCTCTTCAACTTAGTATTAAATTGAAAAATTTAAAAATTTTTAAAATTTTATCGACTTTCATTTTACTTTAAGAAATTCATATTTCTATTCAATGTCTTTTGTTAAGACAAAAAATATTAGAAAGACTAATGAAATTCTTCAGCGAAACTTTAAATATCCAAAAAAATTTTAATTAAAAAATTCTAAAAAAAATTTTTAGAAATATTTTAAGATATTAATAAGAATTCTTCAAAACAAAAAATAAAAAGAAATATGAAAAAATATTATTAAGCTTAGTTAAAATTTAAATTAAAAACATGTAATTAAACTTTAATTTTACCCTAATTTAAAAATTAAAAAAAGCTTGCCAAACTTTTAATAGTTATATCTTTTTATTTTGGAGAATTATTTCTTTGGACATTTCAAATTAAAAAAACCTAGATTTATAAATTAAAAATTTTAATTTTCTTATATCGCAGAATTACAGTATATTCTCTCTTATATCTCTGATAAGCTAAATAGTCGGGTACCTCGGATATCCGATCCGGATCCAAATCCGTAGAACCCTACTAAATAGAATATTTTTTCAGCTTTCATTCTCTCATTTACATAAAAATTTTTATTAGGATCTCTTGAAATTTGTCTGAAAAATATTTTTATAATTTTTCAATTAAAAATTTTTTTCTGGATATTTAAAGTTTCACTGAATCATACAAAAATTTATTTAATTAAAAAAATTTTTTTAATAAAATTTAGCTTTCAAATATTTTTTTATGATTTTTATCGTTCAATTAAATTCCATAATATATCAATTAATGACTAATATAAATTTCAAAAAAAATTTTTAAGCTTAATTAAAAATAAAATAAAATTTTAAAAGCAAAAGAGTCAGCTGATTTTTCCGTTTGAATATTTTTTATGATTAAAAAAAGGAAAGTGAAAATTAAAAAATTTTTTGTGATTAAATTGGGAGATAAAATTTAAAATGTTGGTAATTTTCTAGATTACTGGTTATGATCCCTACAAAAATACAGGAGAGTTCCTTCGATATTTTTGAGGTTTTCTGAAAAATAAAAAGATTTTTTAATTTTTCTCTCCAAAAAGCTATTTAATATTTAAATTTTAAATTCATTTCTCAATAATACTCTTTATTAAATAAATGATTAATTAACTAATTGAAAAATTTTCAAATTAACTTTGACCGGAAATATTTACTAATAGCTTCTGCTTTTTTTATTTTTTATCGTTTTTATTAAAATTTATTAAACAGCTATTTTCACAGCTGATCAGGCATCAGCTGATCAGGCAAACTAATATCAAATTTAAAAATCTAAAAAAAGAGAGAAAAAATAAAAAATATAAAATGTTAAAAATGCTAACTGAGCGAATCATTTAATAAATCTATTTAAAATTTTTTTATTTATTTTAATTAAATAAATAAATTTAATTTTCAGTTAATATGTACATACTTTATCTTAGTCTCTCATAATTAATTTAAATATAAAAATTTTTTCAATATATGAATATTTTTAAATATTAACCCAAGCAAATATGTAAATACCGTGTAATACCAAACCATATATATCCCAAACAATCTGTATACATTAGGCACATCTTAGAATTTTTTTCGTTAATTATAGTAGTAAAATAATTATTCAATTTTTATTTTAGTAAAAATATTTCAACTTAATAAAATGTTTAATACAATTACTAAAATTTTATTAATTGTATTATTTATGCTTGTTTATGGATATGGGGATGATAAGTTGGAGATTTTTCTATTTGATTATTTAAATTAAAAATTGGACTGGAAGGGCCATACAGGAATTTAAATTTCGAAAAAAATTTAGATCTCGGTAATCCAGATTTTTGATCGAGATCACGCCTCGTTACGGTTTCCAATTTAAATTAAATTAGCCTTGATAGTAAAATACTAATTAAATCTACATTAAATATAATTGTTAGGGTTGCACCTCAACTTAGTCACGACACAACTTAGTCCCGGACCTTATAACTTATGAAGAGAAGCTTTAGTATTTAGTTCCCAATAGAATAGTCCATCCAATTGAATGGCCCTTTTTTTGGGAGGAATCGAAAAATAGACATTCTATTAGAATAAATACAGTATTTAACAATAAATTTATCTTTTTTAATTTTATTTTTTCTCTCAGTTTTAAAGTGTGTCCTGGCAAAGAGGATAGTTTTGCTAATTCGAAATTGGCACGACGCTTTCAAGTTAAAGGGAATAGTTTAGCCTGTAAGGACTGTGAGGAGTGTGATGATGGATATTATAAATATAATGCTTTATTTCCAACGGACATTGAAAAGACTATTGCTGATGGGGCTTTTTTGGAGGATTATGTAGAATATGATGATGATGAAGGAAATACTGGGACTTGTGAAACGGTTAGAATTTAATTATACAGTCAATTTTGTACTTGATACAACTTTAAATTGAACTAAAAAATAAATTAGAGTGGGCTGTAAATCATTGATTATGCTGACCAGACCTGGTCGAAACATCAGATTATTTAGGCCAACAAATCATAGTCCCATATGCCTTTGTTGCAGGCCTATATCAGGATGAGTCCCAACATTTTTCGGTGGCACGTCAAACGCCTATTTCCCCCTAATCCCTCCTGATCCCCTATATCACTTTTAATCCTGATAAATCCTTCTATGAAATATCTTGTCTCTTATGTCTCCCCAATCCTATTATGTGATGAATAAAAGTATGTAGGCATTCAGATTAGGTTTTAGGCTTTCAGAAAAATTTATAGAAGTTTTATATTCAAATTTATGTAGATGTTATTCTGGAAGAATGATGGAAAAAGTAAAATTGCTAAGGCAAGGCTTTTTTTAAATCATAAAAAATTTTTAAAGCCTTTCTCCTCCTAATTTAATAATTTTTAATAAAATTGAAAAAAATTTTATTGAAAATTTTTTATTAAAAAATTTTTTTAATCCTAAAAGACGTAAAAATGAATTTAATTTAAAGAATAAAATAGTATATTATGTAATTTTTAAAAAATTAATTTTTAGAAAACTACCACAGCCACAACAACATCAACAAGCACAACAACGACGACCACCACAACCACGGTATGCCTTAAACTTTAAAAAATTTTTGAAAATATTACTAGTAATTCTTAATTATTTTTTCCAACCCTAATAAATATTTTAAAATTAATTAATTTTATTTATCTATCTATTTATAGCCACAGCCACCGATTCGTGTAAGTAATTTAAAACTAATTTAAAATTAAACAATATTAATAAATTTATTTTTAGCCTGCCTGCCGCCATTACATTCAAGGAGCTCTGTATTACGATAAATACAGTTGCCAGTAAGTTACTTTAAAAATTAAATATAATTTATTAATTTAAATAAAATTTTGAATTAAATTTATTTAATTTTAGCTGCGGCAGTACTAACGAAACGGACGTCAAAATAAACAAGTAAAAAATTTTTTGAAATTTAAATAAATAACTATTAAAATTTGGAGCCTATTAGGGAGGGTAATCTTTAGGGAGGGAAACCCTAAGCCGAAACACCGAAGTTTCGAGTAATCTGAGAGTAGGTTCGGTTTCAGTTAGCCGAAAATTTAGTGAGACCGACAACTCTGTTTGAGTGATTTTCTTTATTTTCAATGTACTATCTAAATTCTGTTTTATGTTGGGGATCTGTCTCTGTCCGATCTCCTTTTCTTTATCGAAAGATCAATTTTTGGTGGATTTTTTTTGGGTATTGGCCCAGTCCTTTTATCTCTTTTAAAATAAAAAAAAATTTGATTTTCCTATCTCTACTTTAATTTTATTCAGGTGCTGTGAGAAGCACCATGAGTGTTTGAATGAGCTTCTGAAGAGTTGCCAATCGACTCCATCCTC